GGGGGGGGGTATACAACTCAGTTTTACAGATACTGAGATCAAATTTGTCGTGGAAGTAGATGAGTCATCTCCAGTGCATACTCTGAGCGCTACTTTTGAGTCAACTTTTTTAAAACAAACTATATTTGCAAGAACAACAGATGTGGCACGAAAAGGAAAAAAATCTAAAATATAACTAATTGCATTCGCTTGACAAAATATTACTATTTGTTTATGAGGGGTGGGGTTTCCAGGCTCCCTGAGGTGTGTTAGCCATTTTTTAAATAGTTTACAAATTTGAAAGAATTTAACAAATTAGAATAAAAAGCTGGATTTATTACCCTCTAAATATTAACTAAAACAGAGCTACGTTAGCTAAGCTAGCTGTGTTAAAGGGAGATTTCAGGCTCTTTAAACTGGGATTTTATGGAAAAGTTGTGAACAGTTATTATCCTACCTGTTATAGATAGCTCGTTTAATGACTTCAGATAGGAAAAACAGAATTCAAGCTTCACAGAACTTATGAGCTAACAGCTAGTCCAAATGCAGCTGACACCAAAATGCGTCACTCCCATATTTATATCTCCGTAATTTTGTAGTACTACATACAAAAGCTATTTTGTAAACCTTTACACAGCATTTGATTTTGTTTTACAATAGCAAACAACAGTGTCATAAGAAAACAATAAAATAATGTTTATGCTGAAATAATCGTGTAATGCATTACTGTTTTTACATAAACGACAATGAAATTTTCAAGGTTGAAATTGCTTTAAGTTGGCAAACAGTGTTAGACGTGGGTCTGTTTAAACTAGTTCTGTCTGAGTGTATGCGCTTTCAAAAACTAATTTCCCTGTCATAAAACTTTGATCTTTAAACTAATATAGTATCATGAACTTTGAAATACATGTTTGTTTGTTTGTGTTTTTTTTTTTTTTGGGGGGGGGGGGGGGGTGAAATTCCTGTTGGAAGTGCCATTGAAGTCCATGTAAATAAGCATTAATGGTGGTGTATAGGTTTATGAAATTACACTTGAGAGAACCACATAATATTTCAAAAATTACACTAAATTTAGGATGACAGCAGTCCACTTTGGTCTTGGCTGCATTTTGATCAGTCGCTAATCTTGTCAGAGAAATAACTCTATTTCTGTCTGTCTATTTCATAACCTTTGCACAAAACCCCACTTTACCCTTCCAACTATTTCTGTTTAAAAAGAACTGAGCAATGGTAATTAATTATGAGTAACAGTGTAAACAAACGTGAGTATATCTGTAATAAGTTTGTTGAATCTTGGTATAATAGAAACTAACAAAAGGTGGCCCACCTGTAAGTGGACTCAATACAACAGTAGGTCAGAAATCAAAGATGTGCTGTTTGACTCAGTAAAATAAACTTTTCTCTGGGCTGCTCCCTCCTGCAGGGGTTTTTACCAGGATCAAATTAACATGGAAAATGTGTCAGTTGTTCTATGCATGATGCCCTTCTTGATCCAAACTGGGTTTGAACCTGCAGCCTCAAGACTGCAAGACCACCAAGCTGCTGCACCCCCCCAACACACACACACAAAATAACAATTGCAAAAAAAAAAATCACATATTCTTCCACATCTATATTTCTGTCACCACAAAGCTCAAAACAGTCTTTAATGTTGTTTTAGCATTTCAGCTACGTTACTGTTAAGGGATCCATCTGGCTGCCTAATATGATATTGTGTCTGTAATTATTAGCAATACTTTGGGATACTGATGTTATTATGACCCCCGCACGCGAAGCTTAAGCAGGAGTCATATTGTTTTTGTACTGTTTTTTTTTTTTCAGTGATTTTTGGTCAGCTATAGCCCAAAAACGGCTGCACCGGTTAACATGAAATTT